CACACAGCCTACAAGCACGCCAGGGCCCTACACACAGCCTACAAGCACGCCAGGGCCCTACACACAGCCTACAAGCACGCCAGGGCCCTACACACAGCCTACAAGCACGCCAGGATAATGCTAGTCCCACCTGCGCTACAATAAGTTACATAACTCTGGGCAAGAACAAGCCGTTCTCCTATTAGATGCATTGTTCTTTTAGGCTCTGCGGAAACTGAAGGAAATTCCCATTTCATGTGAGGACCTTTTACCAACCCTGTAATCACCTGATCTGTTAGTGCCGCGAGACGATGGTCATTTTAGGCTCATTAGGCGGAATGGCCCTACGAAGTGGTCCGTTAGTGTGGCCCTCCAAAAGACCATCTTAAAAGCCTGTGCATAGACAGGTTTCTTCTAAGCCGCCCCAAGAAAAAAAAGAAAAGCTAGTTAGTTTCCGGAAGAATGTCAACGGATGATCCAATGAGTAAAATGCCTCCGCACAGCAGCAAGAGGAAATGTGCTCAAAAGCAGTGGGCACTGTGCAGCTCTAATTCCCATTGTGCAGCTTTAATTCCTAGTGTGCAGCTTTAATTCCTAGTGTGCAGCTTTAATTCCCGGTAGGCAGCCGATTCCTGGTGGGCAGCATGTGGCTCAGTGGGCTAAACCTGTGTGCTTGTGATCAGAGGGCTACGGGTTTGAACCCAGCTTTGGCAAAGACCTTAACCCCCAGCTCCCTGGGTGCCCCAACAGGCGACTGCCCTTTGCAGACAGCTTACTCTTCAAAGTGTACACCCACACATAGTCGGGTAAACATACATCTTTATGGGGACCGCTCATTCATTTCTATGGGAAAAATGCTAACATTAATTATGACAACCATAACTCCTACTCAGACCTAACAATAACCATAAATAACCAAGCAAAATACAAGAGTTTTTGCATTTTTACTTTTTTCATTGCAGTCACAGAATTTTATTGAATTGAGTTTTCCCTTATGGGGACCAGGAAACTGCCCCCTCTCAGACAGGTTTAGCTTCCTTCCATTTCCTGTCCCTCAGAACCCCCCCCCCCCCCACTGTAAATGCACACAGTATATGGTGCCGAAAGGTGTCTTCAGCCATGTCTGACAGCAAGGACCAGAGCCTGTTCCAACAAAACTTTGAGTTGTGGTGGGGGAAGTGGCTCGCCCAGGCCCCCCTGGAGCGGAGTCTTCCAGCAATCAGCACGCCAAGTGGACCAGGAAACAGCCCACATCCTGGGCAGGGAGACTCTTTCCTGGCCCAGACCTGCCTGGGACACAGTGTCACCCTGCGGGGACCTGGAGGCTGTGGGGGGGAATTAAATCCTGGGAAATGATGCCCCTCTCACTCATTTCTCAGCCCTGGTCACACCACTGTGGAGAAGAATGAATTACTTGTAGCAGCCAACCTCTCGCATGGATAGCTTTCTGCTCATGCACCACCCAGCACTTGCAGAGGTTCTCCTCCACAGCCTGCAGAAGTATCAGGAAGGAGAACCATCCCTCCTGCCTGCCTGAGGGTGGCGGGAGAGAACAGGGCGATAGGCTGGTAAAAACGCTGTTTTTAAGAGCTGATGATACAATTACAGTTTGCTGTAGATGCCAGGAAATATAATCAGTAAAAATTCCCAAAGTCTGCATCCGTCATTTCTGAACAACTGTTCCTACGTTGGAGTCACGTTATGTAACAAATAGCAGAAAATGCCCTCGGGATGAATCCTGGCATCAACCACCACAGTGAATCCTGAGTCTTCTGTTAATGGAATCAGCCCCTGCTCATAGTTGCCAGGATGCTGCGGTGCGGGGCACGCCCATCTGGGGTCCACTCCACGCCCATCTGGGGTCCACTCCACGCCCATCTGGGGTCCACTCCACGCCCATCTGGGGTCTGCTACACGCCCATCTGGGGTCCGCTCCACGCCCGTCGGGGGTCCACTCCACGCCCATCTGGGGTCCGCTCCACGCCCGTCGGGGGTCCGCTCCGCGCCCATCTGGGGTCCACTCCGCGCCCGTCTGGGGTCCACTCCATGCCCATCTGGGGTCCGCTCCACGCCCATCTGGGGTCCGCTCCGCGCCCGTCGGGGGTCCGCTCCGGGCCTGTCAGTGGTCCGCTCCACACTCACTCACTTTTCCATGGCTGCTTGACCTGACCTGTGTCTTCTGCAAACTGACTCCCAGCTGGTGGAGGTCACAGTGGTAAAGAGAAGCTCTCGCTCTAGTGTGGGATTCATCTCAGTGCCGGTGGTCTGCACCATCAAGCCCAGGGATCTCCAGGGGCAGCCACCAAGACCAAAGCCCTGCTACATCTCACACGTGGCACAAAATCCGGGCAAATCAAGTCTCAAAGGCATCAGTCCACAACATTCAATAAAACTCCAGACAGACGCAGCACATTAATATCCTTCTGCAGTGGTGTCTAAAATGTGGGTCTGATTTACGGATACGAGCCACACAAGGCCGGCCTGGGCAGCACTCGCTAGATTCCCGGCAGCCCAGTACGCCTGCCTGGCTCCACACGCACAGTCCAAACCGAGCTTAAACATGCGCACACACAGACACACACGTGCGCTCACACACACACACACGTGCGCGCACACAGACACACACCTTTACCACACAGCGTCTTTCATGCCCGGCCAGAACGCGGAGGGTGACGTCCCGGAAAAGGCACATCTCCCACTGCCAGCTTCCTGTGGGTTTTGAAACGTTCTTGTCTGGGAGCAGCGGTGACCTGCCTGTAAAATGGTGGTGATCCCAATTCAGCACATCTGAAGGACGGAGTGAATCTGTGGGGTGAAAGGTCAAAAGGTGAAAACCGGATGCTGCAGGCAGACAAACTGTAAAAGGTGGAGAAGCTTCTGCTTCCTACAAATTCCGGGGGGGGGGG